TAGAAAGGTTGAGAGCCGCTGGTTCGGAGTGACTCCTGAGAACATTTGTCTATGTGGTGTCATTAAGAAAATCCTTAGACAACCGGGTATGGTGGCACACACCTTTGATCTTTGATCTCAGCACTTAGGAGGCAGAGGCAGGCGGATCTCAGTGAGCCTGAGGCCAGCCTGGTCGACAAAGGCTGTCCCAGAACAGCCAAGGCTACACAGAGAAACCCTGTCTCAAAAACCACACCACACCACACACACACACACACACACACACAGAGAGAGAGAGAGAGAGAGAGAGAGAGAGAGAGAGAGAGAGAACAAGAAAGAAAATCTTTAGAATTAAACTTACCCTGAGCTCACAACTAACTTTCCTATTTTCCTTTATGTCCCAGTTCTGTGGTTAGATGAGTGAGTAGCAGCATCTGGCAGGGTATAGCTGTCACATGGTCACGGTGGCCTCTAGGACCACAGTCCAGCCTGCTCCCAGCAGCACTGGTGCTCTACCCCGGGAACTGCTCAGTGCAGCTGACCCTCTGCAGCTGCCTGGGATTGTTTCCTCTGTGACCCTACCTTTTACAACAGCTACATCCACCTCATCCACCTCATCCACCTCGTGGGCTGTGTAGATAACTCAAGTAGGGGCAGACTCAGCTCCCAGCAGTTGGGACTCAGTATTTTTGGTTGTTAACCTTGAGTGTTCTACTGGCATCTGGTAGGATGTTAACGTTCTTCAGTGTTCAGGATGGCTTCCCCACTGAACAGAGTTACAGTGAGGTCTTACTGTCACTGTTTTTCTTTTCTTCCTGTCTTTGTACTGTGCTTTTGTCAAAAATGTATGATTCATTAAAAGACTAACCACCCTAGACCCAGAGTAGCCAAGGGAACTGATGCTGTGGAGGGTGACACTGCCATTAATCAACGTGGCAATTAGTAGACAGGTGTTCCAAGCTCAGGATCACTTCAGTTAGCTGCAAGACTTCAGGAGCTACATAATTATGCATAATATATTTCCTGTGTGCATGTGAATGAGGGCATTCCCCTGTGCCTGCATCTACAGTGACTCTGTAAGTCTCCAACTGTCCTCACTGCCATTGCAAGTGTGTTTTGGGGGCAGGGTGAAGGTGGGCAGTAGGTGTATACAGCTGCTCTGTCCAACCTGTGCTTTTTGGAGTGCTATACTGCCAGATACATGAGCCTACCATCAAATCCTTGTCCAGCTCTGCAGATGTCCCGGCATTTAAGATCATCTCATACTGGGAATCTGGACATCGGGCTCCAAACAGTCCCAATGACCTAATGATAAGACTTCACACACCCACCACCGTTTTAACTTCAGCAGTAGTCAGCATCAGTTGATTGGCAATACACTTGAAATAAACTCTTACTGAGTGCTGATCTACACAAAAAGCAGGAGGAGAGGCAGACAGGCTTTCTCTCCTCTAATTAAAGACACAGAGATCGCAGCTTAGAGCACTGCCCCAGGCCGTGGTCTCTGTGACAGTTTTAGGACAGAGGTCTTCATAGTTCCCTTTAACTATGGAGCCTGTTCCTCCTGCGATCTCAGTAGGTCACAGGGCAGGGGAATCTGAGAGTGCAGGCCTATTCTCACCACACAGAAATCTCATGCTCTCTGTCCTAGTTAACTTCCCTGTTGCTGTGATAAGCACCATGACTAAAACTAGCCTGTAGAGGAAAGGGTGCATTTCATCTCCTCCTCCTCCTCTTCTTCTTTTCTTTTCTTCTTCTTCTTCTCTTCTTCTTCTTCTCCTTCTCCTTCTCCTTCTCCTCCTCCTCCTCCTTCTTCGTTTTGTTTTTTGTTTTTTTGGAGACAGGGTTTCTCTGTAGCTTTGGAGGCTGTCCTGGAACTCTCTCAGTAGACCACTGACTTGCCCCTCGTGGCTTGCTTGGCCTTCTTTCTTTATAAGTCTTTTATAAATCCTTCCAGGACCATTTGTCAAAGGGTGGCATGCACATAGTGTTGTCTGGGCCCTCCCACATCAACTGTTAATCAAGAAAAGAAGCCCTATTTCAGGCATTTGTCAAGAAAATGTCCCAAAGATTTGCCTATAGGTCAATCTGATAGAGGCATTTTCTCATTGAATTTTCCTCTTCTCAAATGACCCTGGCTCGTGTGAAGTTGACAAAAAACTAGCTACAATACTTCTAGAAAGGCTTCTTGTCCTTGTCACAAACTGGATAAAAACTCAGCTGCTGTAGATTTCTCCCACAGTCTCTAACACTGATTCCGAGCTGGTATCTCTGACACTGAGGGTTATGATGCTGAGCTGATCTGACACCCGTGGTACTGAGGCTGAGCTGATCTCTCTGACACTGAGGGTACTGATACTGAGCAACACAATAATAGAAATGGATGTGTCTGGGAACTGAAGTCTTGTATTAAATTACACTGCCTCTCTACTCTTCCTACCTGGTCGGCTGACACACCAGAACGAAGAGGCCAAGGAAAGCCATGACTCAAGCTTCCCTCTTTGGTCTGCCTGAGACCACGCCCAAGGGTGTGTGGCCACCATTACAAGTTCACTTCAAGACCGCTACAGCAGGTCTTACCTTTTCTTCTGTCTTTGCTGATATACATACATACATACATACATACATACATACATACATACATATATTTTTCCCTAAGGAAAGAGCTTTCACATATCCTGACAAATGTATCCTGACAAATGTGTCTGGCACTAGGAAAGTAAATTGAGGGTCAGGGAGATGGCTCCGGCAGGCCAAGGTGCTTGCCACTAAGTCTCATAATTAGAATTCAATTCCCAGAACCCACATAGGAGAAGAAAATTAACATCATAACACTGTCCTCTGACCTCACACACAAAATAAATAAATATTTTGTTAAAAACCCAAGAAAATAAATGGGTACATTTTCTTTTGCTTATTAAGTGAGTTCTATGATTAAAATGCCAGTTTTCTGTGGCAAGAGGAGAAAGTACAAATATGGGCAAGTGTACGAGGGCATTGGTTCTCCTGGAACTGGAGTTACAGATGGTTGTGAACCATCATGTGGGTGCTGGAAACTGAACTTTGCTGTAGCAATAAATGCTCATAACCACTGAGCCATCCTCCAGCCCTGAGAATGCGTATCTTTTTAAAGACAAGGTTTCTTGACCGTGAACTTGCTATACAGCGAGGGGTGATGTATTGTCTCTTGTAATCGTCCCCCTCTTCCAAAAGAAGACCCCATGTCAGTACTTGCAGATCAGGAGACCAAGCTTTTGGTGCGGAGACCCAGACCCAGAGGAGAGTACAGCACAGCACGGCTTCCCTCTGAGCAGAGAGCAGAGCACTGAGGTGCGCCTGCTTGCCGGGGCTTGCCTGCCCTTTGTGTTGATCGCATTCATTCTTGCTCATTTTTGCCAACCTGATCGACCTATGTGGCCCTCCCTTCAGCATCATTCCTCCCCTACAGACACACACTAATTTTAAAGTCAACATATTCTGATTGGAGAAGAATTTGTCGATGTTGTAGGTGACCTATCATTTCCGGCCCTAGCTTTGCTTAACCACAGTGCCCATCTTTGTCATCACTTTCGCTTCATGGAGTATGATAAGCAGTCAGCAAATCCTTCTTGACTTCACATGGCAGAAACTCACGGACTGTTAAACCTTTGTGGTTATGCCTGAGAAACCACGGAAGGCAGTGGGTATGAGATGAAGGGGTGTGTGTGTGTGTGTGTAGCTGAAGGTTGTAAGATTCTCTTTGTAAAATATTTACACAGATATTGGGTTGATTTAAAAAAAAAAAAATCAGAATTTGGGCCGGTGTGGTGGCACACTGCTTTAATCCCAGCACCGGGGAGGCAGAAGCAAGTAGGTCTCTATTGGTCTGAGGCCAGCCAGGTCTACATAGTGCCATCCTCTCTCTAAAAGATTTTTTTTTTTAAAACACAGATTTAATAAAATATGAGAAGTCACAAACCAAAGGGAGAGGAGAGGGGTGGGCTTTTTCTTGGCTTATTTTTCCAAATGAGGAATTAGTATCTTTCTCATCAGGGAGAAACCATTCCTGAAATGGATCGACGGCTTTGCTTTTAAGGCATTTCTCTGTAGATGTGGCGTCTTTCGCTCCCTCCTGGATGCTGAGTGATGTGGCCGGGTCTCAGGCTGTGGGCTGAGCTCCCGCAGTGCTCTGGCGCCCCCTCCTGTCCAGTCTGAGACAGCTTGTTTTCAGCTCTAGAGGAAGCTGTTTTGGGAGTTTCCTAGGGTTCTGTTTTTCTCCCATTTTATTCAGAAAAACGAAACATCTTTGTCCTCCCCGGCCACCTGGCCCCATCTGCCTCCAGCTGTCATAGTGAGTGATCTGCGCTCTTGTCCAGTTCTCTTTCCTGCCTCGTCACCAACTCATTCTCCTCCTCAGCCCCTGTTGATTGACCTGGGGTTTGTGATTGTTTTGTTGGTTTTATGAGACAGCCTAAAGTATTCCTGACTTTGAATCCTCCTCCTCCTTTTTACGTTTTATTTTTATTTTCTCTATATGGATGTTTTGCCTATGGTTCGTCAATGTACTGTGTGTGTAACTGATGCCCACAAAGGCCAGAAGAGGGTTGGATCCCTTGTGACTGAAGTTATTATAGATGGTTGTAAGCCACCTGGTGTGAGTCCTGTAAACTCGGGTCCTCTGGAAGAGCAGCCAGTGCCCTTAACTGCTGAGCCAGCTCTCCAGCCCTGCGTTTTCACATTTATATGCCACTACATTTTGACTTTGTAAGAAAAGTCTGCAATCTAATTTTCCAATTATCATAAGTAACGATGTGCATGTATTTCAGTAAGTGACTTTCCAAAAATCTTTTATTTTAATACACTTTTCTTTACTCGTGTGTGTATGTGTGTAGAAGGTCCAAAGACAACTTGGGGAAGGCGATTCTCTCCTTCCTTTGTGTGGGTGGCAGGTATTGGACTCGGGTTATCGGGCTGGAAGCGGGTTCCTCAACCATCTTAGCTATTTCACCAGCTCCTCAGAAAGTTTTAAAGTAGAAAAGTCAGTGCTCATTTTGGCAGCACGTATACTAAAACTGGAAGGGTACAGAGAAGATTAGCATGGCCTCTGAGCGAGCCATGCAAATTAATGAAGCATTTCATATATTTGAAAAGTGGAAAGGTTATTGCTTCATTTTAGCATGGTGTTAATTATTTTAGCTTTTTAAATTTTTGTTTTGAAGATATCTCCTCTGATAAGACAATAAGCATCCTGCTTTCCAGATACTGTCGGTACAGGAACCCGTTGTCAAGCATGGTATTGCCACTGCATGCCACACCACTCCCTGGAATTAAAGTGGCTTTGCCCTCCCACACATTTCCACCTCAGGAGTGTCTTCACAGACCATGTTGCCACTAAACAGTGAAGTTATTGGGTAGCATTTAAAGAAAACGTCTCTGAAATGCATACATTATGCTATGAGCATAATTATTCTATCTTACCCTGTATGAGCCTGCACGGGGAGAGTTCTAGTCTGGGGTTCACTGGAGGCTTGCTATTCCAGCCAGAAGATGCTGAAGTACCAAGTGTTGCCTCTTTCCTGAATTTTTGAGATTGGCAATGTAGATGATATGCTATATGCCAGGCTCAGAAATAAAATTTGGGTCATGTAGTTTCCATTCTGAGCTGGAGAACCATGAGGTTCTGGGGAAGTCTATCCAGTATGGTCCCTGCCACTTATATAAGGCCATTTAAACCTAAAATTCAAGGCTTTAGTCACAGTGGCCTATTTCAAGTGCTCCAAGAGTACATGGACTGGTGGCCACCACATTGGATGACTCATGAAGAACATTCCCATCATGGCAAGGCCTGTTAAATAAAGGAAACAGAGATAGAATTTTCTAACAGCCTAATGGGTTTTTCACAAGACTATTATTAATCTGTTATCCTTATTTGATGAATTTAAAAAATGAAAATAAGAGCACCTCATTCTTAGAGCACCTTTAAGTTCCTAACTCAGTTGGAAGCCAGAGATTTCCCATATACATGCTTCCTCACACACGTTTGGTGCTCCCCACAGTGTCATGCTTTTTACAGGCAGCAAAGTACAAAGGTCAGAGGTGTGTTCCCTAGGTGCGGTACAGCCTCTAGACCCAGACACATGTAACGTTATTTCAACCACTGTGTGACCGTTATGTTAGGTAACTTTCTCTTTACTGTGACAAAATATTCATCAAAAAGAATTTAAAAGGGAAAGGGTTTATTGTGGCTCATGATTTGAGAGGTTTCTGTCCATGGTTGCTTGGGCCCATGAGCTTGCTTATGTCCCCACAGAAAGCAGGACACTGTGGGCAAGGCCGTTCTTCCCAGGGAATGAGGGTCTGGGTAGAGAGAGGAGATCCAGAGGGCCAGGATAACCTTCAGAGGCCAGCGACTTCCCTAATAACTATTTGTCCCAGCTAGGTCTCACCCTAAGTACTCACAACCACCCAGAACAGCACTTGCTACCAGTGGGGCATAGGCCTTTAGAGATGGGGCCTGTAGGAGGTATTTCACATCAGACCACAGCCAGGTCACCCAGAGGAACTGGGTTCTGACTGCATCCTTCAGGGTTGAGCAGGAACCACTTCTAACTGCTGAGCTGCTCTCCTGCTCCCCAGATGCCCAGTTTTCAACCACGGACATTAAGGTTTGCTTTCTCCGGTTTGTTTTGGGATCTCTAAAGTTTGATGGTCTTCCTGGACCCTCGTATTGACATTGTGTTTCAGATTTACAGTGATTTGATTCTTGTGGGTTGTGTAGATGCTGCAGCCATCACTGGAGACCTTAGCTTTCCTGGAAAATCACAGGAATGCCTGCCTAATCATTTCCTTGGAAAGTACCTTATTGAGGCGTGTTCCTTTAAAACAAATCAACAGTTTGCACCTGTTTTTCTTGGCTCCTGTTCAGGTGAATATGTGGGTCACACTGACTGACAGGTGTTACCTGCCAGCTGTGCTTTTGCACATAAAAACTTAGTGTCCATGTAGTCATGGTAACACGCCTTTGATGATCAGTGAACAATGCAGAAATAGACTGTTCCCTCCAGTCCTGTCTACTGTGCATGGGACACAGTATGAGGCCATGCTGGGTGAGAGCAGGGTGAGGTCAGGCCATCAGTACAGCCAGCACTGTTATCTCACACCCACTAGGAGGCAAAGGCCCCTGGCGATGTTTCTAAGAGCTCATTACTAGATTCCTCATTACAATCTTGGCTGAGCTGGCACATTTGACAGCCCATGGTGCAAATGAGAAAGCTTTGGTTGTGACCAGGCAACAGTTTTTCTTCCCGTCTTTCTCCTTGAGGCAGGAAAGTATTTAATGGGGACGTTGTTTCTGATATTCGTAGGCATGCTCACTGGGCTCAAAGGGAGCCTGGGTTAAGATGGCAAGATGCCACTTAAAACAAATAGCAGGATGTGCCATGGGACTGTTACATCACAAGTAGTCCTCATTTAATTAAACACAGTTTTCATGAGCTTATCTGCTGCAAGAGACCTTAAACAAATTACTAGTTAGCATTTCAGAAATTAGCATCTCAAGCACTGGCTATTATGAATTTATTGGAGGGGGGGCTTTCTGCACCCAGAGGGCTTGATGGGGTACCCAGAAGGAGCCTGGACCTGGAGGAAGGAACTGTTACTCATAGCCTGGGCACACCTTAGAGGGTGAGGATGGCAGCCAGAGGCCAGCTGGCAACAAGGGGGATTTTCTTTGCTGTCTGTGGCTGTGAACTTGCTGTAGGTTCCTTTTTCCTGCTGTCTAGGTTTTTCTTTTGATTCTCTTGTTGGTCTGGAGTCAAGCCATTTATTACATGTAGCTAGTGACAAAATCCAACTCTTCATTGTTGAGCTCCTACAGGAAAAATTGCCATTTTATCTACAGTCTCGGCTGTCCTTCCTTGTTGAATAGCTATTTTTAGTATTTCTTAATGTTGTGAGGTTCCTTAGGAATACAACCATGGTTGTATAGTGGAGCTAATCATAATTTGTTTGTCTGTTTGTTTTGAGAAAGGTCCATGAAGCTGAGGCTGGCTTTTGAGTCTTCTATGTAGCTGAGGATGACTTTGAACCCCCACCCTCCCATCTCCAGCAATTTACTTGGATATTGTCATTAGTTGAGCATCACAACTGCCCATGTGCAGTTCTTTCTTGTCTCTGAGGTGGAATTTGTATAGGTTAGTGAGATTTTCCCAGATGACTTCACTTTAACAGGCTGCACAAACAGCCAGACTGTTTGGGGGACCCTTGTGTCTGTCCTTCTATAGCTCTGCTGGTCTGTGGGCTGATCACCCACTCTACCATGACCTCTGCATCTCTTTCATCTTGTATGACTGTTTCCATTCCCAGAATTCCCTACCTTTTTAGGCTGGAAAAATGTTGAGAATAACCACCCCAACTCGCCTCATTTCTGCACTTGCTCCCTACCTCCAGTCAGGCACTATGATAGCCAAATGACTGTTTACGACCTCACTAGGTATAGCTCATCTGTTGACCTTGCTGGTCCTTCTGAGAACTGCTACCCTACCATCTACTTGTGGGCAGACAACCATACTTCTCTACATTCCTTTATGGTACCCTAAAGTTTCCTGAATGAATGGGCAGGTGGACTTCCCAAACAAAGAAGATTAGAAGTGAAATGACTGGAGATAAATAGCAAGCACTCTTTACCTAACTAAGAATGAGATTCATCCTTATGAACAGTGGGGTCCCCAGAATTTTTATTACTCACGAACTGTGTAAGCAGGCTAGTCTTCATATCCCTCCCTAACATCCACATTTAATTTCTGCCATGTCCCCTCTAGATCTTTCCAGAGGGCATGGGGGCAGCCATTTTTGTGTTGCTTGTCATGGAATCTCCAGGTCTTAGAAACGGCAAGTAATTCGTGAGTATTTTCATTTATATTTCCTATTTGTCTTTTTGAAAAAATATTTTCTTTGGGGTATGTGTGCATATGTGCACATGTGGAGGTCATAGGATAACCTCTGGAACTGGTCCTATCGCAGTTCCAGGGATTGAACTGAGGCTTTTCCAGCAAGCACCTTTATCCACTGAGCCATCTCGCCCATCCTCATTAGTCTATTGTAATTAGTTTCTTTTTCTTTTTTTTGAAACGGGTTTTCTCTGTGTATCCCAGGCTGTCCTGGAAATCACTCTATAGACCAGGCTGGCCTGGAACTCAGTTTCACCTGCCTCTACCTACTGAGTGCTGGGATTAAAGGCGTGCGCCACCACACCAGGTTTTATTGTAGTTTCATAATTTGTGATGCTAAGTAAAATATATTCCATTATAATTTGGGCCACATCAAGCCTATTTAGTAATTTTGAATATATGTAAATAGGCTTTAGGTCTTATCATTGAAAATGGGCATTGTTTTATATTACTATCGTGACAGACTTTATTATTAATGACTAAGGGCAATTCTTTTTAAAGGTCACAAACAATGTTTAATAACCTGAAAAAAGATTACCTTGGGAGACAGGATGCAGCAACATAGCCTCAAATCCTTGATTTATTTAAGCCCTGCATGGCCCAGTAATCTTTTCATCTGCCATTTCCCCCAGGCCTACTATTCTGAAAAAAGCTTCTGGAAAGGAAATTGAACAGGCACTTTGAGATAGCAGAGCCCTATGAAGCTCATAAACCGAGAATATTAGGAAAAGATACTGATCAAATATAAAAGCAAAAGGCAATTAGCTTGAAGGGACTAAAAGGAGGATTACATAAAGTGAAAATCTGGAAAAATAAAGTGAGCAGATGGTCCTAATGAGCTGGGAAGATTGACTCTGGTGCCCTGTTGCAGTGGCTTTCACTGGTGTATCTGTTAGAAACTAATTGCCTCTTGTCTGCCTGGTCACCTAGGCTGAGACGTGTGGCATTTGTAGCAGACCCTATTAAAAGCTCAGTCCTGTCTAATTTTTTTTCATTAGTTTACCAGTGAGTGCTGGGTTTATGTGGATCATTTGGTTTACTTTGAGTTAATTGTAATTATGTGTTGTCTTTTTACTCAACAGCTTGTCCTTTATAATATAATTTGCTCTTAACTGTAGTATTATTTCTTTTGCCCTTCTTGATCAATAGCCTCTTCTTTAGGGGGAAAAAAGTAAGCTTAAGGAATATCTGTGAAGG